ATTAAGTCAATTAAAAATTCTGATGAACAGAATAAACTGGTGAATATAATAGAAGCAGGGGCATAAAAAAGCAGTGGAATGACAATTCTCAGGGGGAAGGGAGTGTGAGGGGTGCGGGCAGAGATTGGACAAAAATCTTACACCTATGGATGACGACAGTGAGGGGGGGCAGTAAGGGCAGGGGTAGGGTGGGAACCAGGTGGAGGGGAGCTATGGGGCGGGGGGAAGGAACATCTGTAATAATCTGAACATTAAATATTTATTTTAAAAAATAGTAATGTTTAAAAAAAAATCCAAACTGACAATAGTGTACCCAATAATAACCCCACTGAAAAATATATAGAAATAAAAGCCACAGTTACCATCTAGAGCAGCCGTTCTCAACCTGTGGGTCGCAAACCCTTTGGGGGTCAAATGACTCTTTCAAGGGGTCGTCTAAGACCACTGGAAAACACACATATAATTACATATTGTTTTGACTGAGAAACCAAGATGGTGGCATAGGTAAACACCTGAAATTGTTGCCTCGCACAACAACTTCAAAAATACAACTAAAAGACAAAACGAACATCATCCAGAACTACAGGAATGCTGGCTAAGTGGAAATACTACAACTACAAGGAAAGAGAAAAGCACACTGAGACTCAGAGGAGGTGCGGTGTGGAAATATGGAAGTAAAGTGCAGAGGTACAGAGGTGCACGCGGAAAGGGCTGGCAGCTGAGGACGTGGCTCACGTGGAAAAGGTTGGAATCTGAGGACGCGGCACACATGGAAAGGGCTGGCAGCTGAGAATGTTGTTGTCTTTTTCAATCGGAAGGGGGTCTCAAACTCCTGACTGCTCTGAACTCCAGTTCTGGGCGAGTCTCTGGGGACCCAGACTCATACAGGAGAAACTGGACTGTCTGGCATCTGTCAGAACTCGAGGGTGGCTTTCTTTCAGAGGTACTTGCAGTGATTACCGGGACACTGAGACTCAGGGCCTCTTAGGGTAGGACTGAGGAGCTGCCATAGTGGCTTGCTCCGCCCTGTTGATCCCCAGAGACCCCCACCCCACCCAAGCTGTGCGCAGAGGCTTTTGCATATGAGAGGCCTGGCCCTTTGCAATCTAAAATTACCTAACAAACTGCAGCTGGGTCAGAAAATCCCAGAACTTTCAAAAGAAGGCCCAAGGCCCCATAGCAGCTTGCACTGCTACATGCTGGGCCTCATATGAGCACTTGCAAACCCCAAACAAAGAAGAGGAATCTGCAGATCTCTCCATAGCTCCTGCTGGGTAGCTTCAGGCAGAGGCTAAATTAGCACCTCCTTCGAGATCCAAGAGCCAGTGTACCCAGTGGTCAGAGTGGGACCATCCAGATTACAACTCCTCAGATCCACAAGAGACACACTCAGGGGGCAGATTCAGTGAGCAACCAAAGCCCCACTGAAGCAAGTCTTGCCCCATACGGGTGTCTCTAGCACAGAAGTTCTCCCACTGCAGACACAGCTGATTCTCACAGGCAAATGGCCTGAAGTCCAAATCCCCCCCAGTGTTACCTACAACAATCAAGGCTTAACTACAACAAGACGGCGCACAAAGACCACTAGGGGGTGCACCAAGAAAGCATAAAAAATGCTGAGACAAAGAAACAGGACAGAAATGGAGGAAGGCAAAATGCTGGATATAGAGCTCAAAACCACACTTTTAAAGTCTCTCAAGAACTGTCTAGAAGCTGCCGATAGTTTTAGTAAGGCCCTTGAAAAGACTGGCGAGACTGCCAATAAATATAGTGAGATCCTCAAGAAATCTAATGAGACCCTCCATGTTGTGATAAAGGACCAACTAGAAATTAAGCATACACTGACTGAAATAAAGAATATTATACAGACTCCCAACAGCAGACCAGAGGATCGCAAGAATCAAGTCAAAGATTTGAAAT